TAAACAAATAAGATTATCTTTTTTTAATCGAATTCAAGCAAGGCACTAAAGCCACTAAGACAGAAGGGTTTAATGGGTGTGGAAAATTTAGAAAACAGAAAACATTACTGTTGTGGATTCCGAGATGAAATCCGGTCTCCAATGAATGACAAACGCAAGAATTAAATATAAGAAATAAAATGTATTTACACAATAATACAAAGGGTAATACTGTTAGTAAATCCAGGAACGCAGTTAGTAGCAATAACATATAGATATATACAGTCTCGAAGTAGGACTTCCTTAGAGTCTACGGGCTTGTAAGTGACTTCTACAAGCGGCTACCTCACACTATTACTCTACCTCCAACTCAATCACAATCTCAGTCTTCTTACTATCTCTACTCACTCTCTGACTGTCTAACTCTGGGTATTTAACGGCAGCAGTCCAAGTAACACTGGTAGAGTCCACATATGAAAAAGGAGAGGACCCCATAACAATTGCTAAGGAGCTGGAACAATAGAAGAGTAATCAGGAAAAAAAGTAGACAGCGATTGATATAGCATTTAAATTTTTGAAGATTAAAGTTTGCTAGAAAGCATGGAGCCAGAAGGGAATTCCACAAGCGAAAAGTGCGAGAAAAGAAATTGTAGGCATAGAACTTACGGTTATATCTAAGCAACTCAACTTTAAATTGACGACACCTCATTGCCAGTCTAGCACTGTACTTAAATTCATAAAGTCTAGTTACCATAGTGAAGAATTCATCCGAACAATTACCATAAAAGTATTTATAGAAAAGGCACAGGGAAGCAAATTTACGGCGGTGGGAAGGCAACTGAAGCCGAGATGTCAGGACAGGATAAATAAAATTGCAGATTCTTCTTTGCACTTTATCAAGAATCTCAAAATATATAGCAGGAGCACCGAGCCATATGCGGCAGCAATATTCTAAGCATGGACATATAGATACGTAAGAAAAAAATTGTCTATCACGATACAGTGAACTAACTTTCTTAGCAGCTGACTTAGCAATGGATTCAATATAGCCTTTCCACTTCACGTGAGCCGAGAATGTTAGCCCGAGAAGGCGTGACGAGTCACTCACCTTGAGGTTAGCATCAGCCATGATGATAGAAGGCACAAAGGGGTCTTTCAGATAATTAATAGAAAGCAGTTTCGTTTTTGAGGAGTTAAAATTAACACGTGATTCTTTGCCCCAGTTGACAACAAACTGAAGATTGTTTATGACTTCAGCCGCCAATTTGATCTTCTCGAGCTGATCAGACTTACTATTGAAACAGAAGTAAATTGGAATAGATACCAAGTTGAGAGCTGATGCCACCATTAATGTTAATGAAAATTAAAGTAGAACCAAGGATAGAGCTCTAGGAGACACCTGCATTAGTACAAAGGATCTAGAAGAGTGGCCATCCATGATAACTTTCATTTCACGATTTGATAAGAAACATTGAATCAATTCAAAAATTTTACAACTTGTGAAGAAGACTTGTATGTCAAACCATGTCGAACGCTTTTGAAGTGTTCAAAGCAACAGCCCGGGCTTCACCATTCTTATCTAAAGCTTGGTAGACTCTTTCCACAATGATTATCAATTCATCAGTTGACCTAGAATTACGAAAGCCATATTACTTAAGGCCTTGTGATGTGAGATGCTTAACTAATTCATCATTGATTAGGGCATTTAGTAGTTTGCTAAAACGAGGTAGAAGGCTAATAAGCCGATAGTTGGAAAGGTCGCTTTTCACCTGACTTCTTAAAGACTGGAACAAGAGATTAGGATTTCCAACAAGCAGGAAAACAAGAGGCAGCGAGGCATTCATTATACAGTTTAGAGACAATAGGAGCCAGTTCGGTAGCACACTTCTTAAGGACTATTACAGGGATACCATCTACATGCTTTGTGAGGATCCAGATTAGAGATGATAGCAGAAACCACAGAAGGGGTTATATGCATATCACTCAACAGAGACTCAGTTCTAAGTGGAAAGTTAAGCAAGGATAATCCAGATGAGTCAAGAGTAGAGTTTAGAGAAAATTTACGTGCGAAACATTCAGCTTTATTAGCAGATGTTAACACCTCAAATTAGTTAAAATAGAAAATTTACTCTTATTTAAACCAAGTACCGTCAGATTTTCGCTAAAAAAAGAGCATATCATGATGATAAAAGTCCCCAAACTTGATAAAACCAAAGTTTAATCGTCAAAATTTTTATGTTATTATTAAGAGGAACAACCAAAGTATTTTTTTATTATTTAATAAAAATTTTAATTCTTTCTAGCACGTTCGAAATTTTAGTGAAAAATCTTGTTTTTTTTTTGTTTTTTTTTTCGTCAGCGGTGGACCAAAGATGGATATTTTAGCGCCTTTTTTCCGTTAAAAAAAACTACATTGATTTTGAATTTCTTGCAAAAATCAAATAACTGTCAGATTTTAGTTAAACTTTCAGGACTTTACCCCCACCCCATTTACTTAACTTCATGAATTTTCGAAAAATTAAAATTTGATCGCCAAATATTTTTATTACTTAAAACAGGACTCCTTGGAGAATGTAAATCAACATTTTTTTTTTCAAACAGTTACATATTTTCCAAAAAATCTGCCCCGAATTGTAAAATAAAAATGCAATATGACTATGACATTATTTAATTAGGAAATTCTTTGCTTTTATAAATAATATATTAAGTATACTATAGTCTTAAAAAAAAAATCGATGAGTAATTAATAAGGAAGAGGCAGATGTAATTTCTGGGACACGTGACGAGAAAGGAGGGCCTGGAGAATCTGATACTCACGGGACGAATGGAGGGAAAAAGAGACAGGGGAAAGCAGCGCATGACATACGTGGTGGGCTTGGGCAGGTGGATGGCAGAGCGTGGTCTGGGGGAATTGGCAGAAACACAAAAACTGTTGAGAGCCACAAGAGATAAGGGAAGTGGAGGGCCATGATCGCCTACGTCCTGAAAAGACACGGCACATAAAAAGAAAAAAAGAATGAATTTTTACAATAACTGTTTTCATTTTTTTTTTCATTTTAATTATATTATTTTTATAAAGTTTCAAATTTTTAAATTTCTGCATTACTTTGATTGCGTTGGGTGGTATTGTTATTAAGTGAAAACTATATTTAGTAATCAATACCTGTATTCAAGCTCTGCGATTTTTAAAAGAATTTTGAATTTTTTTGTGTGTATAAACATGACCATTTTTTAAAATATGAGCAAGTCGTGATGCACATTAAAATCACCAAACACAAATATTGCAGATGAATGAGTGCCGTTTCTATACTTTTAGAACTTTTTTCTAATATGTTGAAGTCCTGAGAAGAGGGAGGATAAAGGGGAAAAGAGATGCTGGAATCTTTTCGGCAAAGAGGAAGATAACTTGGAATAGAGAAATCATTGGTAGCAATTACAAAAAACATCAACATAATTTTACTGTATTAATAATAATAATTACAAACAGGATAAATTAGGCCATGCGACGACTTATTAAAAACCATATTTCAGCCGTAAATCCCGGCAAACGAGTAAAACTTATGACATATCACAAAAAATGGAAAACTGCCAACCTCTTCGTCACTAATGAAAGCCTTTAAAGGCTTTGATTAGTGACGAAGAGGTTGGCAGTAATGATAATCAATATAGTACAATTACTAAAGTAATGATAATCAATATAGTACAATTATATCAATTTAACTGCCCAGTAAAAGATTGTATTTCTTGTTATAAATCAATTAGCTATATCGGTCACATCATTACCTCTTTGAGCAGACTCGTCTCATGTCACTTATCTTACTAAAGTGACATAAAAGTCACTTTGCCATTCACAATCTACAAGATCCCATGAGGAAAATTCTGATAACACGATCATTTTTCATAAAGGTCGTAACCGGAATAATCTCCCTGTAAGGTAAGCACTATAAAAATCTGTCACCCAGTATTAGTGTTCCTTTATTTAACAAAAAAACAATGTGCTGATTTTTTTTTTTTTTTAACTAGAAGGACGCCAACTTGAATTCCGACCACGTTCCTTTCGCGGGACTCGGAATAAACATTACAATTATACAATATGCGTCATACAATTACATCTTAAAAGACAACCGTAAAAAGAAACGAACAACAATTAACAATGAACCTCTTGAAAATGTTTAAAGTGGCCGAAAGCGCTTCAGACAATAGACACTATTGACAATATTTACATTCCCTTATATCCACCTAACGGAAAGATCTAAGAATACTAGAAAAATTCAATAAAAATTCAACAAATTCTCCTTGTCCGTCATATTCGTTTTGGACACCTGGGGAGTTGAATGATGCCCTTTTGTGATTCTGCTATCATGCAATTGATTTTCGCTTTGATGTGCAACGTGGATCTAGGATGCAACATCTAGAGTATACTTGGCCACGGTAAATAGACCCAATCACTGACAGTGCTATAAATTATAATACTCCCTCGCTTTTGATATTTGTAGTGCGAATGTTTCATAGCTTTATGTATGTCCAGAACATTTTTCCACTCATTTCCCACATGATATTGTGCTAGTAAATATACTCTTCAAGATGTTCGACTACTTCCCTGTCTGCCCGACCTCTCACTTATTGAACGAGGCATGATGTCATGATAGGATGACACCTGACTCGTTCAATTAGCCAACCTGTAAGTCTTTTTGTATTGCATCAATAGGTACAAGAGGCTCGGAATAGAGGATCAAGACATAATATTTGCCATCTGTATGATTGGATGCATATGTGAGTACAAGCCTATATTAAGACACAGAGAGAATATAAACTGAATTATTATGGGGTCTGAGGTGTGTGGATACATTTCTTATTTTGGTAAATGTGCACCTATTGATCTGCAAATGGATTATTTATCTATGCAATTAATCTTGAGTAAATTAAAACATTCAGTGTGTTGCAATATTATTTCCTATCAGTATAGATAGATATGAACAGAAATACTTAATTGTACTATCTGGATAAACAGTTAAATAGTTATGATTATGCACTTCTCTCTCTCTCTCTCTCTCTCTCTCTCTCTCTCTCTCTCTCTCTTTCTCATTACACACACAGGCACACTACCTATCAATCTATCTATCTATCAATCTATCTATCTGTCTCAGTCTATTTCTCCTCGTCTCTCGCCTAGTCTGTTTCTACCGTCTTTCATTCTGTCCATCGCTCGCGATTTGTTTTCCTCCTCACTATCTCTCCGTCGTTCTTTCTCACGCTATCTGTTTCTGTCTCCCCCAACTCCCCTCTCTTTCTTTCTCTCTCTCTCTCTCACTCACTCGATTACTATCTGTTTTCTCCGTCTCTCTCTCACTCACAGTATCTGCTTCTCTCCCTTGCTAGCTGTTTCTCTCCGTCTCTCTCGTTCACTCACTTGTGTACGTCTCTCCGCCTCTCTTTCTCTTACGCTGTTTCTCTTCCTTTCTCTCCCTCTTTAACTCACTTACTTGCTGTCTATTTCTCTCCGTCTCTCTCTCTCTCTCTCTCTCTCTCTCACTTGTTACGTACTTTTCTTTTCTCTTTTATATATATATATATATATATATATATATATATATATATATATATATATATTATCAATTGCTCGTTTGCTGTATCTTTCTCTATTCGTCCTTGCCGTATTTTATAATGTTTATAGAATAAACAAACCTCTCACTGATTTCATTTCGTCATAAGGGCGACGGTCTTATTATGGCTTCCAGCTGAAAAGAACTCCTCTGAAATATTATAAAAATAATAATTAATTTTGTAGAGTTTTTGTTGTATGTTCGTTGGCTCAACTTTCTCCAAACAAAGAAACAGAGAAGAGAAAAAGAACGCCACTTACCTTCAGGACAACTGCCGATAAATTTGTTTATATTTTCACAAAGACTAGATTAAATTTTATACATTTCATAAAAGATAAACGAGAATTGCACACCAATTCTGATTTTAATCAAAAGTGAAGAGAAAAAAAACTTTTGAATGGAATAAAATCTTCTCTTCCTCCGCAGACTACGATTTTGAATGATGTATTTTAATTAAGCTGAGATCTCATTTGATTCAAAATACACCCATGGCTTTGTGTTTAGACCCATCCATGAGAACCGATTGTCTGATAGTTTGATTATTATAATTGCTGATTATGCAGTCGCCTTGTCAACAATTCGCAACAGAATTATTGGCAGCTGAGGTGAAGACATCAGTTGTTTGCAGCTTTTAGAGTTAACATTTTCCAGAACAGTACCGGATTAACCAGTTTGCCGGTGCAAAAGAGGCCATGTAATATTAATTCAATAATCCACCTCTGACTCACTACTTACACAAATCTCATATCTTTAAAGCATTTAAGACTGTTTCAATTTTAAGTGAAGCAAATATTAAACTGGTTAAATTCAATTGCAGCAAAAAATTCAAGCGCATAATTTTCTGCTGATTGAACGTGGTAACGTCCCAGAAAAAATGATGATGCATATATATTCATTTTCTACTAATTTATCTTTCTTCTAGTCATTTCGTTGAGGTCGTTTTATATCCTACGACCGTGAAATAAATAAGAAATGTCAGTCATAGCGAAATACTTATTTGAAAATGACACTGAAACAGATAAGAAATGATGAAGCCATGATTAGATTGAACTTAGTTTAACTGAGCGAACTACATCGCTAAATTGGTTTGGCGTATTTCAACCGGATTTCCGGGGATAAAGGAATTCAATTCGCCTCGGAATATATAGAACATTTTCCCATGCTGCTTAATTAACGCTCATACAATGTAAAATGGCCTGAGTGTTGCAATAAAAATAATATGAAGTATTTATTCGTCAAAAAAATTAAGATCATTTTTCGGAGTTTTCTTAATCTTATGCGTGCTTTTTTCCATAACAATCTTAGTTTAACTCACGTACCATCCATTAAAGTAAGCAAGAAGTCGGAATAAAAAGTAGTAGTTTCCAACGAGACTTGAAACTAAATCTCATATTCTGAGAACTCGTCTTACATAGACGATACTTTAACAAATTCAACCAAATAGCGTAAGAGTTATCAGCGGGAAAAGTGGAATTAAAAAAAAATCGAGTTTAAAATTTAGCTGACGTTGACTGGTTTACTTCTTACTAATGCACTTGGCATGAATCCACTTAACTCTGTGATCTTTCTCATACCAGTTATCTTGAAAAAAAGAATTTCTGTGATTGACTAAGACAAATGTGGGTGATTAAGCAATTGGAAAAACCACTCTCTTATCATTACCTAACCTTTTTAAACAGTGATAAAAGTAAAAGGATGTTACACTCATTGGTAACATTGACGGAAATTAGCCAATAGTAGTAGCATTAGTCTTCTTATGTTAGATTCTTAAGATAAGAAATCCTAGATATAATCAGTTAAGTCAATAACTGTTTTAGAAACAAAATTTAGAATTTCTTAATTTAGACTTGGCTGTTCTGATCCATCAGACCGAGCGAAGTACATAGATGTCGTTTTGCCAGCAGCTAACTTTGCTCCTATAAAAGTATGGCTTATGTGCTACCATAGATTTTATATTACTTGAGCTTATTCGTTAAGCAGGAAGAAATGTGCGCCAAATTTATCAAAAGAGAAACAAACGTGCGTGTACTGTATAACAAAAGCTGACTAGATCTTTTCATTTCTTTGTCAGATTAATCACTCCAAAACATTAATTCCTAGAAACATTAAACTTTTAAAACAGGTTTATAAATTATTCAATATCTTTTAACGTGTCTCATTTTATTTACTTAGACTAGCTTAGTTCAACAATAAAGTTAAATGTGATGATTATGTTACACCAATATTTCACATGAGGAGAACCTACCTACTTTGAAAGCATTTAAAATTCTGACTTTTAACTGCATTCGAACATTGAACACTTTCTCACGGTTACCGACCAGGCAGTGATAACAGGGGAAAAACTAAAAAAAAAAAAAAAAAAAAAAAAAAGCATATCAGAAGTAAAGTGCCTCGAATTCGAGACAAGTCGCACCATTACTAGCTGACTTCCGTCAAGTCTAACAATGACTATAAGAGCTCTTTACTGTTACGATTCATTCGGACGTAAATTTAGTATGGGAGAGTGGTTTTCTCAACAGCTTACTCATCTACTATCTTCATGCAGGGAGAAGTGGATTCATGCCAATTCCTAAGTCTATGAGTGGTAAGTAGATACAGGCAGCTACCCTGAGATTATTCTCTCCCATACTAAATTTACGTCCGAATGAATCGTAACAGTAAAGAACTCTACTTTAACAACCATAGAAAATCATAACTTAATCTGCCATTAGTCCAAAGAAGGAAAATTGATTTTGAATTTCAGGAAAATTTGAAATTCTTTTTTTTATCTGGGTCCGAACCCTGATCAGGAGTTTCAGTGATAAACACGTAACGCGTTCTCACACTTCTGTCTGTTTGTCTTTCACGATCGACTCGAGGCTTTCTCCCTTTCTCTTTCTCTTTGTATCTGATTTTTTGCCTACTCAACCTGCTCTCTCACTTTTCTCTCTACTCTTTCACCCTCTCTCTATCTCTCTCACCTTCTCTCTCTTTTGCTTACATGTACTTACGCCTTCTCCTTCACACAACACGCGCGTGCGCGCGCGCGCACACACGCACTCACTTTCTGTGCATATGTTATCTCTTTCACTCTCTCTCTCTCTCTCTCTCTCTAACTTTCTCCCTCACTCTTTCACACACATTCCTTGTCTTTCACTGACACATTCTCTATCACGTTCTCATTCTCACTGGCATTTTCCTCTCTCCTTTGTATATACATACTCTCTTCTTTTCACACATACATATAAACACATGCACAAAAACATACATACATACACACATACATACAGGTTATCTGTCACTTTTTCCTTCGTTCACATATACATACATTCTTTTTCACTTTCTTTTATTTCATGTTTATTAATACGCTCGTTATTTCTTTCATAAAACCACGCATTCTCTTTTAATCTTTCCTTTCTCTTTCACACATATTTACGTTCATAAATTTTATTTCACTTTCTCTCTCCATCACACGCCCCTTCTTACTCAATTTCTCTCTTTCATACATGTTTTTTCTTTTTTTTCATTCTCTCTCTCTCTCTCTCTTTCTCTCTCTCTCTCTCTCTCTGTGTCTTTCCATTTTTTCACCTCGTTTTTGGCTTAAAGTCAGTCAGTGATACATGCTTAGGCTATCATGTATCTTCCTATACATGACTGACAAGGCAGATTTTTTCCCCGCAGTAGTTTGCCATTTCTTTCTACAGGAGACCAATTGCTATACAAGGCTATAGAATACAATCACACATTCTTGGGTGGGGGGGAAGAAGAAGAGGATTCATACCTTTCCCAAGGGTATTAGCACGTAAGTGAATGTAAAGGATCTGACTGAAATTCGAATTCGACTCACCGATTTCTCAGTCCATTACTACACCGTATTTTATCCTTATTTTGACTTTTCATATTTAAAATTGGGGGCCTGCGTTACCCAATCGGAAAATACGACAGGAAACATATACAACACAAAGGTCAAAATATTTTCCCTAACACTTTTCTGTGTGTGTGTGTGCCTTTCTATATAGTCACTTAGCAAAATACTGACATTCCTAGTTAAATGTTTGCATATATATCTAGGTATACATGTTCATAGATATGCACACGCACACACACACACACACATACACACGCACATACACGTTCACACACCCACACGCATACTAAACGCAATGCGATGTTTTGTGGATTATTCTTACAGCTCATTAGCATATTGAATCACCATACGTCGTGCTGAGTCAATTTCTCTCTTCGAGGAAACAACGTTTTCTTGTTTGCAGCTTATATTTGTTTCAGGCTTTGATCGTGTTGAAACAAAGCGGTAGTTTCCTACCAAAAGTATCACAAATCACCTCTAGTAAATACCAATTATCAAGCCTCGCTCTCATTATCTTTACCTCTCTCTCTCTATCTATCTCTCTCTCTCTCTCTCTCACTCTCCCCCTCTTTCTCTCCACCTTAAGCTCTCAATCTTATCGGTCTTTATACAAATTTAATATCGGCTGGAATGAATCCTATGAAAAATACTAGCAACAAAAAGACATTATGTCAATATTTTTGAACGATTGCAATCGCAGCAGGTGGCTTTTTCTTCTGTTTAATTCTTGAATTGCCTGTTAGAGATTCATTAATAGTCTTACAAGGCGTCCGTTTTCTTCATTGATAAACATAGATTTTCTTTGTTTTTTTAAGAATACTTTCTCTTATACTCGGTCATCAGGATTACTAGTTTGTTACGGTTGTCGCAGTTGTAAAGTAACTTTCAACATATCGAGAAATTAGAATAACTTCGAATCAAAGTAAAATGCAAAATTCGTACATTTATTTACGTGGTATACAAACAAGGTTTGTATATCAAGGTTAATCCATACTAAATTTAATTTCTGTACAGGTAAGAGGCACCTAGTGAGAATTGAACAGCCTACCTAGTGGTAATGGTCAACGAGACTAGCTCGTTATCCATTATTCAACGCCAAGACGCCAAAGATGTGTGCATATTGATTTACACTGGTGCATTTTTTAGAACATCGTGTAAGAGAATTTGTTAACAGAAATGACATATGTCTGCGGTTGATAATGTTCATTGACTTGAAATATTTCTATACACAGCTTACGTTTGTGAAGCTCGTAAAAGGAGAAAAATAAATGCATCGGTTGGATGCAAGAGAAAAATACCATGTTACTTCTGTTGTCGGTGAACCTTTTTAATCTTGAACAAAGTCGCCTATCCTGTAGAGGAAACGAGTTTTGGCAAGCGTAAATTATTGTATGCAAATGAGAGTCTCTAGTGTGGCTGCTTCTTTTGTTCCTGAATTTTCTCTGTGTGCAGCTCGAAACCGATTGACTGGAAACTCTCTTTTAGTGTCACGGGCTGTGTTTAGGATTTCGTCTAACAATTTCTTCATGTATGCACATTAAGCTATATTTAGCATTTCGGCTTTTAAATGTGTTGTTTAAAATTGGCATTATTTTATAGGAAAAGAGTATATATCTATATCAGAGATAGAGTGTTTATAGATATAGTAAGTGTTGAGATAGAAATCAACATTGCATATTGACTGTAAGTATCAATGCGATCTAAAAATTGGTTAGAAGATCACGCTGAAGTGTGAAACTAACAGTCACCATGCAATGCTGTTTCCTATGTATAAACTTCTATCTCCCTATATATATATATATATATATATATATATATATATATATATATATATATTATACGGAGGATAGAAGTTTTATATATATACATATGAGAGATAGAAGTTATATATCCATATCTATCTATCTATCTATCTATCTATCTATCTATCTATCTATATATATATATATATATGTGTGTGTGTGTGTGTGTGTGTGTGTGTGTGTGTGTGTGTGTGTGTGTGTGTGTTAGAACTCTGAGTTTAATTCACGTGGCAATCGTCAGGCATAAATTGAAAATTGACCGGTGTAAAATTTTAATATTAATAGTTATAATTTGCTTAAAATCCTTTTTTGCAAACGTATATATATATATATATATATATATATATATATATATATATATATATATATGGAGGCACACTGGAGTAATGGATATTGGCTTGGATTGAGGAATCGGAGTTTGAATTCCAATCGCTTACATGCTAATACCCATGGGAAGTTATGAATCCTCTTCTTCTCCCTTCAGCTATGGGTAAATAGCAGGACAGACTAGAAGGCAACAGATCTAGAAGAGCAACTCTGAATTCAAAACCAGGGAACCTTGTGGCACATAGTGCACCAGGTCACGGTATTCGGTACTTCAAAAAGATTACTTATTAGAATGATGATTCAGTAAGATAAAAGAAACAAGAAACACTGATGTGGACCTAATTATGCCTTAAATCGAAGTATGAGGTATGGATTATGACGATGTTCTTTATATCTTCTATCTTTAACATGAGGCATGATTGATGTCTTCGTTCTTCAAACAAACGGGCAATGACACTCGACAACAAAAAGGAGACCAGAAGAAAACGTTATGTTATTGGGACCCACATCAAAATTGGATGACTTTTTATACTGATCGACAATTATCTTCCAGTTTTTATGCGAAGTTTTGAAATAATGAATTTTCATTTGATTATCTTCATATTGTATCGTCGGTACTAGCGATGAGGGGAAAGCAAGGACCTTCTAAAAATGAAACACGAGAAACACCGAAAAGCTATGATCCGAGCTGAAACATTTAAACAGGGTTTAATAGATCAATCACGGAAAGAAAAGAGAGTGTCTCCTGTGAAATGATTTCAAAATACTAAGAAGAGAACATCAACTGAAAGAAGTTGCATTTATAATTTGGTTTAAAAAGAAAGCAATATATGTCTATATTTCTGAGATGAGGTATTGTAATTATTTACACTATTTACATTGTTGTCCTCATCTTTGTTGTTATATTTACGACATTTCGACCGTTATACACTCCGGCTTTGTTCAGGTTATGAGGACAACAGTCCGAACAATTTTTTTTTTATCCTGTGAGCCGTAGGTTCGTAGGAGAACCATTTAGCCCCAGTAGAAGTGATATTTCTTGGGCAAGATAGCCTGATGGATCCCAACTCTTTCCAGGCCGGTTTTGAATTCAGATTTTTTCCTTCTCCTAGACCGGTTGAATCCAGCCTGTCCTGCTATTTACTTATAGTTGGGAGAAGAGGAGTCATACCTTTCCCAAGGGTATTAGCATGTAAGTGAATGCAATGGGTCCGACTGGAATTCGAACTCGGCTCCCCGATTCCTCAATCCAAACCGCTATCCATTACTCCATGTAATGTAAATAGTGTAAATGAAAAAAAAATCAGTCTAATAAAGCCAAGTATATGGTTTATCATTATATAGAAACAAATACATAGCAAAAGTTGACGCGAAAACTTGACTTCTTCAGCTATATTACTTGGAATACACTATAAAAACATTTCCGTTTCATATAACAGCAGACAATAATTGCTCAGATTAGAGTGATACATATTCTCACTTAAATATAAGAATATATTTATTTAAACGAAACACACAACACTTGTTATTTCCAAACGGTCATCCATATGTGTTTTTCAGTTAAGTGCTAAACACTTGGCCGATCATGTATCTTTCAATACTTGACTGACGAGGCAGAAGATTGCAATTTCTTTATGTGGTCGACTGGTTGCCAACCAAGACTAAAGAACCCAGTTTGTCCTGCTATTCAACTCATAGCAGGGTGGGGGTTGGTATTCATACCTTTCCCAAGGGTATTTGTGAGTAAGTGAATCTAGTGAACTTGATGTGTATTAAATATTATAGTTCGATGTTTCTTAACTTCGATGATCGGACGAAAATCAATCTATTCAACGTGATAAAACGAGACCTCGATACGAGATTTTGACGGATTAACATATTCTAGCTGAGAATATTAAAAGAAAACAAAAAAAAAGTGATTTAAGACTTTTAAAAACCTGAGAATGTATCAGTTGAATGTTAGAAATATGAAGATAATAGTTCGAAAAATAATAGAATACTAAAAATGTCAGCATTCATGCAATAAGAGAAGGCCGAAGCATGTAGTAGCTGAAATGATGTATTAAGAATTATCTTCATGACGAATGTTCTAGTAAAGACGCTTTGTTGTTATTTAGCCTAGTATAGTTTAAAGTCAAATATAAGGTTACAAGCATGAGGCACTTAATGAGAATCAAATTCTTTAGTACAGTAGTAATAGTTTGCTAGGCTCATCTCCAGAGAAAGAGGGGGAGAGAGGGAAGGAGGGAGTCATATCGCTTTCTTTCTATCTTAAACTTGAATTTGCAAAGGCTGAGGGAAATAATTCTGAGAACACCTGTTGTTACATGATCAAATAGTCACGTTGGAAGAAATTAAATTTGTGCGATGAAAACTTCTTGTGTAACACCTGCCACACATTATTCACAATATGGACATCTATCTAACTATCGCAGTCTATCTATCTATCTATCTATCTATCTATCTATCTATCTATCTATCTATCGATCGATCGATCGATCGATCGAAAGTAATGCTGAAATTAATGATTCCTATTTATTTTATACGGAAACTGCAACAGATGTAAGTACAATAAGACTATAGCATAGTAAAAAGCATTACGTTTCTCAATCTTCTGATTTCAAGTACAGAAGCAATTCTAATCCTACCATTCTCGAGGGTATTGGTGCTAAGTAAGCAAAAGCAGCCTCTGTTGAAATTCGAATTCATTTCACCGATTCTTTTCACTCGCCAGTAATTTTCTAACTTCGTTCTCTCTCTTTTCATTAAATTCCCACTATAAAGGAATCAGTATGTCAACTTCATTCATGTTTTTACGCATTTATTCTCATGCATACAATATGTATATATCCTCATTTCTTTATAAGAAATCTGGCGATATTTGGGAAAATAATTTCAACAATTTTTGATAGAAAGACGAATGGCTTAATGAGAATTCGAGTAAAGAATAATCTCATGACTATCTTTCTTAGAAAAAAATATTAAGATACATGCTATTATATCCACTGTCACCCTTGATGATGGTCATTTAGATAGATAGATAGATAGATAGATAGATAGATAGATAGATAGATAGATAGATAGATAGGATAATAGGATAATAAAATTCAGCACTACATGGTGACTGTCATTTTCATACTCAAGAGAACCCAAGGTTAATATTTTTGGAGGCTAGTTTAACCGTAAGTATCCAACAAAAATGTAAGTAGAAAATTTCAACTATTTTAAAATAAATGAATTCAATCTATACATGCATTAAAAGCGTAATAACAACAACAATTATCTTCACCCATGAAATTTACACTGATTTACTAATGATTTTGTAATGATGCAGTTTTCAATCCAATACCTTTCCAAGATAGTTATCAGAAAAGTGATAACGTCTCTCTTTAAATACTGAAATGTGGTATGACGCACACCTTCGTTAATAATGTGAAATGGAATGTAATAAATGTATATTATAGACATTCGCCACGCCTGAAAGGTCATATGAGAATTACTTGTCTTAATTTTTCTCAGTTAAGGCATGGGTCATGTGTAATCTGGAGATGTATGTGTGTATTAGAGATAAACAGCCATGAAAAAACATTTTTGCGATGTATCTATTTTATTCCAAAGATTGTTGCATTATTAATGTTCTTATGAAAAACGTGATTCTTAGAATATGAGTGAGGTCAAAGAAACGCAATGAAATTATATCAGTCTTTACATGATGATAGAAACATGACATACGATCAAGTTGCTCACAATTAAATATATTCTAGTGTTGGTCCATAATACATACATACGTAGACATGCTTAAGTCACATGTGAACATAAGCAAAAGAATGGAATTCTTAATTGGTTTGTAAATATTTAAAGAGAAACATTAGTAAAAGTTACTACATCAATAGTGCACTCTTCTAGTTGTAGTAAAAAACTCAGATCCTGCACCCAGGTCTATGGAAGACTTTGCAAATACAGAACTAAACAAGCTTGACTGTTCTCCTAACGTGGCTATATAGCCAAGTCATTGGCATATTACTTCGTTATACACAATATTTCTAATATACAAACAAACGATGTATATCATAGACCAAGAAGTAAGCTGACGTAGGGGATCAAATAAACTTTTTATTCCAAAAATAACCGCGGATTATGTTAATTCGTGTCCTGAATATGTAAATTTGTAGAACGATTTCGGTCGAGTAATTCACTAAAATTGGTGCAACAGAAATAAATCGATGACCCATCAAAGAACCAAAACAAACCAACCTGTTTATTTATTGATTGATTGATTGATTTCTTTGTTTAGATATGTTTTGAAAAAAATATCTCCTATTACTATTAATTAATCATCCGTCTTTTTAGATCAAAAGAAATCAAAAGAAATTGTTGCGGTTTATTAATAATTTTTAAAAAATCATTAGTAATACTCGTGAAAATTTCACGGGTTTCCTGCTTTTCTTTCTTTCTTTCTTTTATTTATTTTTCCCACCGAAACCAAACCGCTCCTCACTCTCTCTCTCTCTTTCTCTCTCTCTCCCTCTCTCTCTCTCCCCTTATATATATATATATATATATATATAGGTAACATATCTTCATTCAAACATGTTTCATTGCATAATAGAGATATATCGAAAGGACTTGGGTACGAAAAAACTACGGTGCCTTCCTTGATGAATTTCTTAACATTAAGAAACTTATTAGAAAAATGGAAATGATGAGTATAAAAAATAAATAGGCATAATGTCTATATTATTCAAATTATTCAATGATATATATACAGAACGCATAACTCCATTAGACATCCCAGACCACCTAGATTAGCCCCTAATAGACAGTCAACAACAGACACACCCAACCTTAAAAAAAACGGAATAAGTCCCCAACCAGGACACCTGGGTGGGGGCATAGCATCCCTAATAGGAGATATGATGCAAGCTTTCGAGCTTTTACAAAAGAACTTCGCCATGCTTGCAAATTCAAATTTGACCCATACGGGCGAGTTATAAATTTGAGTAACAATAAATTTTCCTCAATACATTCAGGGTATTAAATAAAGGACTAGCTTTTGCCCTAGTCCCCAAGGTTTGATAAAGACATTTGGCTAAGGACCTGAAATCCTTCTTCAGAAGAATACGGTTAAAAGCCCACTATGGGGAAAATGATCATACACCTTCTATACTTGAGACATTAAAGAGAAGGATACTACCTACACCCCACAAAACACAGACATTACTATACAGACATTCGAACTAGCCGTAACAAATGACATAAAGAAAACAATAGCACGTAAGCTGCCACGTGACAATATGACTGAAGGAGAACGTATAGCCCTCGATACACTGACACATAGAGATGACGTAATCATAACACAGGCTGACAAAGGGGGGTGCGACAGTGATCTGGGGAATCGAAGAATACATTAAAGAGGCCAACAAACAGCTAGCCGACAAAGAAACATATAAAAAGTTTACCTACAGATCCCCTTCCAGAATACCAAAAAAGAATTAACTAGCTCACTAAACATAATGCTTCGCAACAATCTAATCGACAAGGAAACATGCACAACACTTACACCCACAAACATTACACCTGCCCGCTTCTATCTCCTTCCTAAAATACACAAAAGCAACAATCCAGGAAGGCCGGTTATTTCATCGTTCAACTGCCACATGACAAAAATTTCCAAATACATAGACCATTACATACAACCGCTAGCTAAGGAAGTAAAATCCTACATCAGAGACACAACAGATCTACTGAACAAAATTAATCACATACAAACAGTACCAGAGAAAGCTATTCTCGTGACTATGGACGTTAGGTCACTATATTCAAACATTAAAAACATCGAAGGGCTGGCCGCCCTTCAGGAAGCACTTACTAAAAGAAGAAAACAGGACCCCCCCACAGAAGTCATCATAAAACTCATGGAGCATGTCCTTACATTGAATACTTTCAACTTCAATGGAGCACACTACCTTCAAATAAGAGGTTGTGCCATGGGCACTATTGCAGCTCCATCATATGCTACAATATTCATGGGAAAATTTGAGGAGACCCATATCTATCCAATCATTGGTAGCGACTGCGTATTCTATGCAAGATATATCGATGATATATTCTTTGTATACACGGGTAGTGATGACAAACTTACCCAATTCCTTATGACCCTAAACACAGTGCACGACTCAATTAAGTTTGACTATGAAACATCCACAACATCAGTAACATTTTTAGACACCCGCATTTACATAGATGAAAACAGGAAACTACAAACGACACTACACACTAAAATCACCGACACCCACAACTATCTACACTTTAAGTCTTCCCACCCTAAACACCTCAAAGAGAACCTTCCCTATTCACAAGCACTTAGACTCAGAAGGATATGTTCCAACAATAAAGAATTAAATAAACACATTGAAAATCTGGAGCATCAATTCACAACACGTGGCTATAAACAACACCTAATCAGGGAACAAATAAATAAAGCAATTTTCACACCTAGAGAAGACACCCTAATATACAAGATTAAAAATAAATCTAGCCGCATCCCTCTAGTAACCACTTTCAATCCCACTCTGCCCCCACTATCCCAAATAATCAAACGTCGCTGGGAAATACTACATCTCAAACCAGACCTAAAAAACTGCTTAAGGAACCCGGCCTTCTTGCATATCGTAGACCTAAGAACCTAAAAAGAAATCATAGGTAGTAACTACATTTCAGGGGACAAGGTAATCCGTAAGGAACTGAGAACAAAAACAACAGGATTTTTCCCAACCATGTAACAACAAAAGAAGTTTATGTGCAAACCATATTAAAAAACACGAATTCATTCACTAGCTCAATCACTAAATCTACTTTCAAAATCTACCACGATTCTAACTGTAGAAGTCAAAACATAATTTACCTCCTAGAATGCACACTATGCCAGAAACAATATGTAGGAAAATCTGAATGGCCCTTTAACTACAGAATTAATAATTATCGTAAGCGAATTAAATCGACTCCCTATGAACAGTTATTACCTGTAGAACAACATTTCCGCCTAGAAAAACACGATTTCAAAACCCATGCCAGATTCACTATAATTGAGAGAATAGAAAAGTTCAGAGCAGATAACATTAGAAAGATTTTAGAGTCCCATGAAAATAAGTGGATACAACGTCTAAAAACACAATACCCAGCCGGGCTAAATCATAAATTTAACAATATATAATAGTAACAATCAACAAATCAAAACCTACCCACATTTCTCACCCACACAAGACAGACATGCTTACGGAGGAATGGAGGCCTCACACTTATACACTCACCCACACGATTATACACACATACACACACCATACTCACTCACCCCCTAATGAGCCAAATGATAACACACACCTACAGCAATACACACGCTTACACATATCATACTCACTCACTCCCTAAGAACCAAATAACACACACACAAACACTAAACAGAGACACATCCCCTCACCAGGTCCAATAAAACTGTCAAACTGACCAGAGAATT